AATTATAACAAAAAGTATTTATAAGATATAATATTTAAATATATATCTCTTGTTTAAAGATGTAATAATATGTCTTATATATAATTATTTTTACCGTTAGATGATATCATTAATCACGTAATCTACTCCAAAGCGAAACCCTCTTTCAATCGGTGGTTTCATTACCGTTAGTTTCCCGGTCCCCGTCCGGCGAACAGAAACGGCTATCTCACAACAAGCAACGGTGTCCATGGTTGGATATTTCTTGATCAGACAAYAGATTTGCGATTTCTTCTTGTAGTTTCACCACACTCTCACCGATTTTTTCCCGTATAAGTCTATCATGCCAGACAAYGTCGAAAAATYAATACAACCACCACTCGGTTCCACCGTGATTCCAGTAGTGAACAAGCTTCGTGAAGTACTGACAAAGGTCGATGGAGCCGATTCGGAATTGGAGTTGCCGCTGGTGGCTGTCATTGGCAGCCAAAGCAGCGGGAAGTCGAGTGTTTTAGAAGCCCTTGTCGGCCGTGACTTCTTGCCCAGGGGTTCCGATATATGCACTCGCCGTCCCCTGCTTTTTACAGTTAGTACGGACTGATGAAGAAGCCATTAAATACGGTGAGTTTGGCCACTTGCCTGGGAGGAACTTCTTTGATTTCTCTCAAATTCGTGCAGAAATTCAGGTATTTGCGTTTAAATTATGGCGTTTTAGTTACAACTAATTTTTTCAGATTTTTTATTTGGGCAGTAGTATTGTTGCGCTACACAATAAAGAATTTATCTATTAAAAATCATTTTTCAAGGATCACAAACTTTTCGAAACCCCAATAAACTTGCAAGAATCATCAACAATGTAACACTGCATTCAAATTGCACTGAAATCCATMCAGTTTTGTTTTCTWGACGTACTTATTTAGAGGGATTGGATAGGGMTTGCTTCTTTTTCTCACAGAAAAACTCCAATTTAAGCCTTGATGGAAGTGGCTTAAGTTATTCGTTCAGGCTCAAGGGCTTTAGCTAAAGAAAAGTTAAGGCAGCGAGGCAAGGGGTCCATACTTTTTTCTTAGATAAYTCTTTCCAAATTTTTTGATGACAAGATCTGAATTCTTTTTTATGCWTGCATTATGTCTTCAAGCAGCGCCAGATACAAAGAAAAACAGAACTACCTACCAATAAAAGAAAATAGCTAGGTGCTCCCATTTGAGMCGATAAAGTATCATGGTCAAAGGCGCTTCTTGTACATTGAAAGTTCAGAGGTTAAGTTGTAATATTGATCGGATGTTCGTTGTTGGAGTTRGTTGATGAAAGTTAATGCTTATGATTATTATTAGTCGGTGCTAATGGTTGTTACAAGGGCACCACCACTTAGGTAGGTAGTTTTTGTTGTTGGAGAGGCTAAAAATGTATTCCATTMAAAGTTACCAAGGATAGGTAGTAATACAACAGTATAGTTTGTTGGAAGAAACTTTATAGTCTACGGTAAGATAGTGRAAACACTTCAGTTGATTTTCGAGCTAGCCTTTGTCAGCAAACAAACTTTTAGTTGAAGTTGACCTTGCAACCCACCCATGTAATCCAACAGCTGAGACAAACAGGCATTTCCGAGAGTTGAC